CATGCTGTGCCTCATATCCCATGACCTATAGGACACCATGCTGTGCCCCATGTCCCATTCCCCATGGGGACACTGGAATGTCACCCACCCCCCATTCCCCATAGGACGCCATTCTGTGTGTCCCCATATCCCATAACCTATGGGGACACCATGCTGTGCCCCATATCCCATGACCTATAGGACACCATGCTGTGCCTCATGTCCCATAACCTGTGGGGACACCAAGCTGTGCCCCATATCCTATGACCTATAGGACACCATGCTGTGCCCCATATCCCATGATCTATGGGGACAACCATGCTGTGCCCCATGTCCCATGACCTATAGGACACCATGCTGTGCCCCATATCCCATGACCTATAGGACACCATGCTGTGCCCCATATCCCATGACCTATAGGACATCAGGCTGTGCCCCATGTCCCGTTCTCCATAGGGACACTGGAATGTCCCCCACCTCCCATTGCCATAGGGACACTGTTGTAGACCCCACCCCCATTCCCCATAGGACGCCGTTCTGCACGTCCCCACATCCCACAACCTATGGGATCCCCACGCTGTCCCCCACCCCCCGTTCCCCACGGTGACCCCATTCTGCAGCTCCCCCCGCCGCCCCTCTTTGGGGTGACGGCAGCGGTGGGGAACGCAGCAGTGCAGGGGATCAGAGCCCGTCTGCGACCTCGGCGCGGGGCCGTGGGATCTGCTTGCAGCTGCTGACAGGCGCAAATCCCGACGTCCTGCAGGCTGTTGGCAGCGCTGGAGGGACAGCGGCGCCACGGGGGTGGCACTGAGGGGCGGCGTTTGGCGCTGGAGCTGAGCTGCTGCTGCTCCCACTGCTCCCAGTCGGGCTGCTGGGGTTCAGCTCATCTCCGTCGCCAACGGGAGCCGCTGCCGCCGTGGGGCTCCCACCACACAGCTCCCATCGCACCGCGCTCCCCTCCCCGGCTGCTGATTTTGGCTTCTTGCCTTTCTGTCAGCTCCTCTGGGGGCTTTTTTGGGTGCTTTTGTGCTGCGTTGGGGGCTGCAGGGTCCCCCGAAGCTCCGCGCTGCTGCTGCTGGGGATCTGGGAGCTGACGGCACTCCGAGGTTCAATGAGGGCAGCTGGAGAGGAGCAGCGCTTCAGATGGAGTCGATCTCCTCGTCATCCGCGTCCTTTCACAGCTGGAACCATCAAACCCCTCCTGCTGGTTCCTGTGAGCCAACAGGGCGGCCAAGAAGGTGACACAAACGGTGTCCTGGCGGACAAACAGTTGACCAGTGGGTGACCAACGATGGACCGCAGGGCGAGCGAGAGCCAACAGTGCCCTGGGGGCCATGGAGGTGACACAAATGGTGTCCTGGATGGCCAACAGTTGACCAACAAGTGACCGCGGGGTAACCGTGAGCCAACAGGGTGCTCTGGTGGCCAAGGAGGTGACCCAGCTGACCATCAGTTGACCAACGGGTGACCAGAAGGTGACTGTGAGCCAACAGGGTGCCCTGGTGGCCAAGAAGGCCATGGGGTGACCACAAGTCTGCAGGGTGCCCTGGGGGCCAAGAAGGTGACACAAATGGTGTCCTGGATGGCCAACAGTTGACCAATGGGTGACCAGTTGTTGACTGACAGTTGACCAACAAGTGACCACAGGGTGACCACGAGCCAGCAGGGTGCCCTGGTGGCCAAGGAGGTGTCCTGGCTGACCATCACTTGACCAATGGGTGACCAGAAGGTGACCATGAGCCAACAGGGTGCCCTGGTGGCCAAGAAGGCCATGGGGTGACCACGAGTCTGCAGGGTGCCCTGGGAGCCAAGGAAGTGACACAAATGGTGTCCTGGATGACCAACAGTTGATCAGTGGTTGACCACAGGGTGACCATGAGCCATCAGTGTGCCCTGGTGGCCAAGAAGGTGACACAAATGGTGTCCTGGATGGCCAACGGTTGACCAATGGGTGACCAGTTGTTGACTGACAGTTGACCAACGATTGACCACAGGGTGACCACGAGCCAGCAGGGTGCCCTGGTGGCCAAGGAGGTGTCCTGGCTGACCATCAGTTGACCAATGGGTGACCAGAAGGTGACCATGAGCCATCAGTGTGCCCTGGTGGCCAAGAAGGCCAGTGTTGACCACAGCATGGCCATAAGGCAGCAGTGTGCCCTGGTGGCCGTGAAGGTGATGCAGACGATGTCCTGGTTGACAACAGTTGGCCGTATGTTGACCTTGAGCCAGCAGGGTGCCCTGGTGGCCAAGAAGGCCATGGGGTGACCACGAGTCTGCAGGGTGCCCTGGGGGCCAAGAAAGAGCACTGAGTGATGGGTGACCAGAGCCAGGAGGGTGCCGTGGTGGCTGTGACACAAATGGTGTCCTGGCTGTTGACTGAGAGCCCGTTAGTTGACCAATGGGTGACCAGTTGTTGGTCAGCAGTTGACCAACGGTTGGCCATACGTTGACCGTGAGCCAGCGGGTGCCCTGGTGGCCAAGAAGGGCGATCCTGAGCGATGGGTGGCCAGAGCCAGCGGGTGCCCTGGTGGGCAGCGAGGTGACAGCTCACTCCTCCAGCCCACACGGGGGCGCTCTCTGATAGCGGCGCTCCCGGGATGCCCCGTCGCACAGCGCTCAGCGCATGCGCAAGGGCCCTCAGAGCCCGGACGAGCGGCCGCGCACGCGCACTGCAGATCCGCGTCCGGCGCGCAGGCGCGGCGGTGCATCGCGCATGCGCTTCGGCGCGGCGCCCGCAGCGTCGCTCCGTCCGTCCGTTAAGGCCGCGTCGCCGAGGCGCTCCGCTCGGCCCGGCTCGTCTCGGCCCGCAGGCGGCGGCAGGAACCGGAGGAGGACGGGGGAGCCGCCCCGGGCGGCCGGGAGAGGTAGGGCCGCCAGGCCGCCCCCCGGGCCTGCGCCGCGCTGAGGGGCCGCACAAAATGGCGGCCGGAGCCGCGCTGCGGGGCGGCGGGCCGGGAGCGGCGGTTCGGAGCTGCGGGGCGGTTTGTGCAAGGAGGCGCCGCGCTGCTGCCGGGCTCCATCTCCGCTCGGTCGGGGGGTCGTGTGGCTCCGGAGAGGCCGGGGAGCCCGCAGGGGAGCCTTGGGCCCGCATCCCTTTTGGGCCCGCGTCCCTTGGGGCCGCATCTCTTCCGGGCCCGCATCCCGCGCAGCCTCAGGAGCGCTGAGAGGAGCCCGGAGCCGCGGTTCCTCTCGTTTCCCTCGGCGCAGACGGACGCTGCGGGCGCTTTGTCCGCCGGCGGCTCCGCGTTGTGCCGGGTGTCTCGTTGTGCCCGGCGGCCCCGCTGGGCTGCGCTCAGTGCTGTGGGCTGTGCGATCCCAAAGGGTTTTTCCCACCCGAGGGCTTCTGCGGTGCTTCCGTAGCCATCAGTGCGCGGATGTTGGGCTGCTTGTGAGGCACGGAGCTGCGCTGCTTCACCTCCTAGGGCGGTATGGAATGGCCTGGGTTGAAAAGGGCCACAACGAGCATCTCACTCCTGCTGTGTGCAGGGTCACCAAGGGACCCATACATCCCCCCTCCATAGATTCCCTCCCCCCCCCCCCCCCTTAGATCTCCCCATCGACTCACAGCATGGCCTGGGTTGCAAAGGAGCACAATGCTCATCCAGTTCCAACCCTCTGCTGTGTGCAGGTCACCAACCTGCAGCCCAGGCTGCCCAGAGCCACATCCAGCCTGGCCTTGAATGCCTGCAGGGATGGGGCATCCACAGCCTCCTAGGGCAACCTGTGCCAGTGCCTCACCACCCTGTGTGTGAAAAACTTCCTCCTGACATCCAACCTAAACCTCCCCTGTCTCAGTTTCAAACCATTCCCCCTTGTCCTGTCACCATCCACCCTTGCAAACAAGCATTCCTATTCCTGTTTATGCCCTCCCTTCAAGTATTGGAAGGGCACTATGAGGTCTCCCTGGAGCCTTCTCTTCTCCAAGCCACTTGTTCCGGTGCAGTAATGAGGTACAGGTCGTTAAATTCTTCAGGTTCATTTTCATAGAGTTGGGGGGGGCCTTCAGGAGCCGTCTGCTCCCACCGCCCTGCCCTGAGCAGGGACACGCAGCTCCAGCAGGAGCCCAGGCCCCATCCTGCCTGCATGGCTCGTGGGATGGAGCTTCCACCACGTCTCTGGGCAGCCTCTTCCTGTTCTGTTCCTCCACGGAGTCATTGGAAAAGAGCAGTGAAGGGGCACAGCGCCGTGATGCTTATGGGTTCCTTTCCTCTCGGGATACGCTGCGGTTCGGTGACAAGAACTCAGTGTGCGTTTAGAAGACCGGAAAGCAGCGGTCGCCCTCACGATCCACAGCCCAGCCCTGAGCTCAGCTCCAGGCTCAGCCCTCCTGCTGCGTGCTCGTGGCTCTCGCAGCTGAGACGAAGTCCTGGCGCTGCCCTGAGCTGTGCTGGAGGGTGGATGCTGTGAGGTAAGGAGAAGCTCTCCTCGGGGGCAAGGAATATCTTGCGTTGCATCGCATTCTTTCCCAATCCTTCGAGGGCCTCCTGCCAGAACAAACAGAGCAGCCTGCGCTGGAGGGGTGGGGATGTGCTGCTCTCTATGACGAGTGGCAGTGAGAGCTGTTTATCCCGGGGTGGGGCTCCAAGTTGCCTGCAAAACATTCCCTTCCCCTGCCCAAATGCTGCGTGGTTGGGCGCAGGCTGGGTTCTGCAGGGCTCCACCACCCCGGTCGGTTCTGCCTGCGGATGGGGAGCGGCGCAGAAATGCTCTTTGGGCTCTAAAGGTAAATGAAATGGTTTCTTATTTCTTTGCCACCGGGGGGTTTTTGTGAACAGAGCTGGATGCTTTACGTAGGGGCTTTGAGGCTGAAGCGTTGGTGCGCAGAGCTCTGCGTGCCTCAGAGCCGCTGTGCGTGGATGCGTGCGCGAAGGAAGCGGCGCAGGATCTGTGCTGCTCTGCAGTTTCACACAGGAGGTGGAATTTGGAGAAGACACCCATTCTTGCTGCTGGTATTCCATAACAGCGCTGAAGCATCGTTTGTTGGCCTTCTCATGAGGGTTCCTTCCTGGAAGACTCCCACGGAGTTCCTTCTGTCGGGATGTGAAGTGTCCTGACGTCACAGGTGCTGGGAGGGAACCTGTGGCAGCATCAGAGAGCTGTAGGTTTTTATTCTTGTGCCTCGAGGCCACCTTTATCTTACCTGTGAGTTTTCTCAGCACTTCTTGCTCTTCTTTTTTTGTACCTTCCCTTGGCCCTGCTGAGGTGGGGGAGGCCTGGCAGCCCTGCAGGTGCTTGGCTGCAGCCTTTGGGGCACGGAGATGACTTGGATCGGAGCAGGCTGGACGGAGCTTACTGTGCTTGGTGGGGTGTCCGTGGCCATGGAGGGGCTTGGCCTGTCTTGTGTGAAGCAAGCGGAGCGGGAAGCATTGCAGGAGGGAAGCCGGGAGAGACGGATCGAGCCCTGCGGTGGAGCAGCAAGCTGCTTTCTCTGCTTCCTAAGGACTGGCATCTGCTGCTCTCAGTGCTGGGCGACTCCGGCGGCTGAGAACCATCTGAGTGTGAATGGACTGACAGCTCAGACTGACCTCACTGCGGGGAGCGTGGCCAACAGAGGCCCCTGCTGAGGACTCCCGAATGTGGAACCCAGGCAGACACGAAGGAGCTGCTGCCCCGAGGGCAGCCCTGCACAGCCCGACTGCGACGGCGAGCGTGCGTGTTTGCCTTCCAGCCCACATCCCCAGCCTGGAACAGCGCTGGATCCAAAGGGTGGTGAAACCTCTCCGTTTTCTGTCTCTCTCTCCCCTCTTCTCTTTTCTCTTGAGTGTCTTTTACTCGTTTCCCTTTGGTAGCTGTGGCCTAATGTTGCCTTAGAGCTGTTGATAAGGAAATAAGGACTGCTCTCAGAAACGTCTCCTTGTTTTGCTCTGCCTGGGCAGCTTGCAGAAGAAGCAGCACCTGGGGCCCGGCCTCATCCTGGCGCTGCGGGCACAACAGCTTCACCTTCCTCCTCCTCCCCTCTGGGATGGATCCTGCCAGCTGCCTGCAGCGACTTTCAGTTTCTCAGCCTGCTGTAGCGTTCCTACTGCCGTGTGCTGTCTGTTGTCCCTGCGCAGGGGATGGAGCTGCAGGCCCTGTGCCACCATGGAGAGGACTGGAAGAGGGGGTTGTGTCATCTCAGACCTCAGTGCCGTGGATGCGGGCTGTGGGGGGCTGTGAAGCTGGAAAGGGTCCATGCAGGAACAGTGCTGCATGGGCTGCTGGCAGGCGGGTCTGCAGGTGCAGCAGGAGGGCTGAGGTCTCCCTAAGGGACTCCTGTCTGCAGATCCAGCAGTCGGTGGAGCAGGGCCCCGTTTCTGGGCAGGTTGTACTGGGCTTCGTGGCAGAAATCTGGTGGTGGCTGACTGGAAGCACAGCCCTTGGTGTTGTCAGGGACTGCGAGAGCAGCACCCGAGTGCCTGCAGGACCCCACCAGCATCACTGTGTGGGGCAGCACAGCTGGAGAAGGGAAGAGACTCCTCGAGGACTTGGGGAGGTCCTTGTGAAACAGCAGAACCAAGGGAGCTGCATGGGGCATCCAGCTCTTGGGATGGACGCAGCTGCATCCCAGCAGAGCCAGGACAGCTTTCCTCGGCGCTGTGGGTTTCTGGAGAGCTCATGCACTGGGTTGTGAATGTGTGTGGCTGCTCTCTGCTGGGTGCTGTGTGCAGGGGCCTGGCAGCAGGCATTCACACACATCCAGCAGGAGAGCATTGCTGGGTTAGACCGTGGCAGGCTGGGTTCCAGCAGCAGGTTCTGCACCGCAGCACGGAGCAAGCCGCGCGTTGTGGCCGCTGCTGAGCAGCGTGGGTACGCAGCTGGGGGTGGCAGAAGCAAAGGATGTTGCTTGGCTTTTGAGGCTGTTTTACAGCCCGTCCTTCTGTGGAAGGAGATGAGTGCCTGTGCTTCGCTTGCCTGTTTTCTTCTCTACCTGTGCTGGTGGCTGCGATGTCAGGGCTGGCTGGCAGGACGCGGAGCGGTGGCTTCCAGCAGGGGGCTGCCAGCGAGCTGCTCTGCGTGCTGTGGCTTTGCAGGGAGCGGAGGGGTTGTGTGGCGCTGAGCTCGGCTGAGCAGTGAGGATGCTCAGGGGCCGTTGGGTGAAGGTCTGGACAGCACTGCTGGCTGCCTCTGCGCCACGCTCAGCTTCCCAGCTTGTTCTGTTGAAATGTAACTCACACGGAGCCTGCAAATTCAGCAGCGTTTAGTGAGAGAAATCAGCAGCCAATTATCTTTGCCCTGATTGTGCCGGGCTGTGTCTGCAGGGCGGACCTTCCCCAGTGACTAGAGAAGGTTCTTCCACGTTCTCCGTGCGTCTCCTTGCCCCTGGCTTCGCTGTGGCTGTGTTGAGTCCAGCTTTGTTCGGGTCGCTGCCCGCCTCCAGGGGTTGGGGGTTCACCTGCGTGCGGTGTGCAGGCGGGAGGCAGAGCCGAGCTGCGAAGCCCTGCTGTGTTCTGCCTGCATCCACGCGTTCTGCTGCACGGCTGGTTTCAGCTGAGATAAAAGCCGACGGGTTCCGCTGCCGTTCTGCATGCCGTATCCCCAGCCTTCGTACGACTTTACACCTTTCCATCTCAAGTTGTCTCAGTACCAAATCTTGCCTCGCACATCTGCCAGACGGAGCTGCAGGCGCAGGATGCGGCCACTGCGCCCCGCGGATGCTGTCAGGATGCTGTAGTTCCCCAAGGGAGCTGCCGTGGGAGCGTCCCTCCGCCAGCCGTCCTGCCTGCAGCTCCGCAGCCGCCTCACTCCCAAACTGCCTCTGTTCTCATTTCTCTGCACCACGATTTCACTTTGCGAAGCGTTCGGAGTGGGCTCCAAACCCTTTGGTTTACCGCTCACGACACGGCGCGCACGATAACGTTGTTCTTAAAGACCTGAAATGTCGGGTCTTGGAAAATGCTGTCGTCTCGGGGTTTTGTTCTGTGTGACACTGAAGGCGTTGGGTCCAACCTGTCTGCCTGGGAGCAGACTGCGGGGTGAGGCCGTGTGAGCGACGGGCAGCGCTGTTGTTGGCGGCTTTGTGAACTTGAATGTAGAAGTGCCATTTGAAGGGCCATTGAAGTGCTGTTTTCTGACCTGCCCTGTTTTTCTCACTGGTTATAGAACCCACAGCGCGCAGCCGGTGCACCGCTGAACCATCTAACCCTTGTCTTTTAACTTTCAGCTTTGTGTTGTTCTTGGAAAGTTTCGCTCCACTTGTGAATTCCTTGAACCTTGGCATTGCCAGCCCGCTTGTGTTGGGCCCTCCTCCTTTTCAGCTTGCTCACATTAAGACCCAGTTGGCTCTGCAGCAGTTGACCGCCAGCAGCTCCGCGCCTCCTCATGCTTCCTTCGGCCGGGCCGTTCTGAAAAGCGCCATGTTTAGCCCCAGAGGAGCGTTGCCGCAGAGGCCGAGAGGACCCAACCCGTCCGCAGCAAAGCCCCCGGGATCCTTCCAGGGTGTGACGGGCCCGCAGAGACCCCCGGCCCCAGGAGCACCCCGGGGGGCAGCGCCGCGCGCGTCGGGGCAGGACAGCGTCCCGTGGACCGGCTCGCAGCGCATCAACGTCCGCGTCACCCTGCACAGGGCCGACCCGCGGCAGGCCAAGGCCAAGGGCAGCCTGCACCAGGAGCAGAAGGGCGACGTGCGCGCCGGCCGCTGGGACGGCAGCCCCTGCCCGCCCCCGCCGGTGGTCTCGCAGAAGCCCCCAGCCCGAATCCCGGAGCAGAACGCCGCGGCGCAGAACCGCTACACGCCGGAGAGCGCGTCCAGCATCTTGGCGAGCTTCGGGCTGTCCAACGAAGATCTGGAGGAGCTCAGTCGCTACCCGGATGACCAGCTGACCCCCGAGAACATGCCGCTCATCCTCAGAGAGATACGGATGCGGAAGATGGGCCAGCCTTTGCCCGGCCTGCATTCCCAGAGCCGAGGAGAAGCGATGAGCGGGACGAGCGGCGCGGCCGTCAAAGGCAAGGTGATCGACTACGGGCACGCCAGCAAGTACGGGTACACCGAGGATCCTCTGGAGGTGCGCGGTTACAACGTGGAAGCGCTGAGAGAGGAGCCTCTGGAAGCACGGCCCTACAACCCCGAAGCGCCGGGCGGAGAGAAGAGGGAAGAGTTCCACCGAGAGCAGAGCGTGCCCATGGGCGTCCCGCCGGCCGGCGTGGCGTGCGGCCCGGCCTTCCCACCGCAGGACGTCATGAAGCCCCCGCCGGCTTTCCAGAGCGACCCGGCCAACCCTCACCCATTTTTCCCAGCGGAGCCAGCGGGGAAGGCGGGCGGGCTGTGCGCGGCGCCCGTGGGGAAGGCTGGCCCCCCGCCCGCGGTGCTGCCCGTCATGCCGCCCATCCTGCCGCTGGCCGTGCCGCCCATGGCGCAGCCCGTCGTGCCGCCGCTCATCTCGCAGCCCGTCGTGCCCGTCCTCCCCCAGCCGCCCTTCTCGGCAGAGCTGCTGGCCATCCTGGAGCAGCGGGACAGGATCCAGCACGAGGCCGGGAGCAGCCAGCCCAGTGCCCAGAGCTCCGGGATGGGGCAGAAGCCCTTCCAGCCGCAGCCCGAAGGGCCCATTAAGTCCCCCTTTGGCGTTGTGAAGGCGTCGTGGCTGCCGTCCTTCCTGCAGTCTGACTCGCAGAAGATCAAACGCTTGCCCACCCCGTCAATGATGAATGACTACTATGCGACGTCGCCGAGAATATTCCCACATATGTGTTCTCTGTGTAACGTAGAATGCGCTCGTATGAAGGTGAGTGTCTTTACAGATTATTGCCGTACTTGTACCCAGCTCCTTACCCGCTGCTCTGGGTGGGGAGCTGATGTTTTACTGGCTGTGCTGCTGCTCAGCGGCCTGAGTGCCGAGGTGCCGATGTCAGGCGGCGCAGGACGAGCGCCGTGCCGCACAGCGTGCTCTGTGTCCAACCTCGTGCGCGTTGTTCGGGTTGCTCTCGTGTTAAAAGCGAGGTCTGCCTTTGGATTCCGAGCAGCAGAACGAACCCTTCGTCGCCTGCTTAAACCACTGACGTTGCCTGGTTGTCGGCGGCGCTGTGCTGACCCGGCGGGGCAGGTGAGAGCACCCCACGTTGGTGTGCTCAGCCCCGCTGCTGCAGAGCCGACGCCGGCAGAGCGCTGCTGCTCTGTACCCACATCGCCTTCCAGGCTGGCCCAGGGGAGGCTCCCAGCCGTGAGCGGTGCGTGCAGCTCTCCATCCACCCAGCCGGGCTGCGGAGCTGTGGGTGGCATCAGCCCGTGGTGGAAGAAGAGGAAGCGTCAGCGGTTTGCGGGCTGCTTCGGCCCGGTTCTGTGACCTGCAGGGCAGAGGGATCTGCGGATCTGTGCCTCCGGAAAAGGGAAACGGGGGACCCCAAAATACTTGAAAACAACGGCAATAATCCGAGGTGGAACAAATGATTTGTTAAATGTAGTATTAGCAAAGTGCAATGAGAGAGGGAGAGTTTGTCTGAATGGTAGGTAGGGCTCAGCGCAGTGCTGGGGTGAGAAGTGCAGTCCAGTGGAGTGAATGAAGAGAAGCAGACGGTGAAGCACAGATGGTGAAGAGCAGGTGAAGAAGAAGGAATCCGGTGAGCTTGCATGGAGTTTTATCTCCTCGCTGACCACAAAGCCTCCTGGGGAAATGTCGTTCTTCTCCATCGGACAAACATTCGGAACTCGAGCATCAGAAATCAAACCCTGCAGTGCATTGCATGACGTTATGGTGTGGAATACCGATAAACAAAACCCATAAAACCAGGACAGGAAGGAAGAAGAGGGAGAAGAGACTCCTGAAAGCCGTAGGTGTTCCTTGAAGGAGCTGAGCTTGACGTGGCGGAACCCACAAGAGCGTGACTTGAAATAACTGTGTGGTTTGGTTATTGGCTCCGTGCGTTGGAATTGGAAGTAGCTCTCCCCAAACAGGAAGCCTGTGGGGGCAGAGCCGTGCAAGGTTGCTGCGTTTCGGACGGCGCGTGGCTGCTGCAGTGCTGGCGGCTGCACCAGGGGCATCGCAGTGCTGGAGCTCTCCTGGTCGGGAAGAAATGCAGCAGGATGGGAAACTGAAGGGGAAGCTCCGTTCCAGAGAAGAACGTCTGAAATGGAACAGGTAACAGACGAGGGTTTGTGTTCACCACGGGGCAGGGCTCAGAGAAGCGCCCTCAGTTCCCGTGTGAGCTGAAGGACTGAGCTTCCTCCTGCTCCATGCACTGCCAGCGCTGCCAGAGGAGCTGACTTCTCATAGAATCACAGAATCATAGAATCCCAAGGTTGGAAACGAGCTGCAAGAGCATCCAGTCCAACCCCCGTCCCATTGCTATCAGCACCACCAGCACCAAAGCACAGCACGCAGCTCCTCAGCCAGGCGCCTCCCCCACCTCCTGGGCAGCCATTGCAGGGCCTGAGCACTGAGAGAAGCAGTTCTGCCTCCTGTCCAACCCAAAGCTCCTCTGCTACAAGTCCTGGCCGTTTCCTCAGGTCCTACTATTTGCCTGGGAGAAGAGGCCAGGCCCTTTGACATCACAGCCTCCCTTCAGGAGGTGGCAGAGTGCAGCCAGGTCTCCCCTGAGCTCCTCTTCTCACCCTCCACACTCCCAGCTCCCTCAGCTCCTCAGCAGCCCTGTGCTCCACACCCCTCCCCATTTCGCTGCCCTCGGCACTGTGGGGCTGCAGCTTTGTGTCCCTATGTGGGTTCCCACGTCGACCTCGCCGCCTTTCCTCCCTCCCTGAGCTCAGTGGGAGCACAGGGCTGCTTTCGGGAGGTGGCGAGTCGTGCCGCGTGGGGCCGAGCTGCGATGTGCGGCTTTGAGATGCTGCGCTACAAAGTGCTGCCTTCGTGACGGGGCCGGCTGGGAAGGTTTGATCGTGGCATCACCGAGACTGGAAGGGTCCTCTGAGAGCACCAGGTCCAACCTGCTGTTTCCCCGCTGACTGAGTCCTGTAGCAACATCTGCGTGTGTTCAGAAGGAAGCAGCGCGGCGATGGCTCACGGCACAGCAGCTGCTGAGTTCTGGAGAGGATGGAGCGTATCGAATGAGAAGAACCTTCTTATCCAGCACTGAAAGCGACTCCAGGTCCAGCAGCAGAGCTGCAGCGTTGCTGAAATGACACTCAGAGCTCAGGGCGCTCGCCAGCAGCATTCGTTGTGCTGTGACTCTTTGGCAGCGCAGCCCCACACGGCAGCGGCGCCCATGGAGGACAGCCCACGTCAGAGCCGTGCCCCCGCCGCTCCATCTCTGCATCCCTGGGCTGCGTCCCTTTGGCCCCCCAGCCTCCCTGTCCCACGTGGAGCCCAGCCCGACGCACCCTGCAGCATCCGCTCGTTTTCCTCGGGTAATTAACGTTGCTCGTTAACGAGCTCGGATGAAACCGAAGCTGAAGCAGCTCAGGGAGATCTCAGCATGAAAACGAGAGCTGTGTCAGGAGAGTCACGCACCCGAATGTGCCTGCGCTCCTCGGATGCCTCTCCATGGAGCTGCCTGCAGCTGAGGGCAGCGCTCAGCGTGGCACAGCTCTGCTCTGGGAAGGGACCCACAGGGAGCCCCGCGGTGCTGCTGTGAGGCGCAGTGCAGTCCTTGCGTGCGCGGTGGGTCAGCAGAAGCACGTTTGTGTCCTGATGGAGATCCATCCCGCTGCCTGTTAGCTGCAATCTCACCTTGCTGTTCTCTGCAGGACTGTTGGCAGCCTCCCAGCGGGTTGAAGCGTGTTGTGAGCGCTTCTCTTTCACTTCAGTAGCGGCTGCGGTGCAGTACTGAAGGGTGATTTCTGCCTTCAGCCACCTCGTTTCCAGCCCACGTGGAATGGTGACGCTCAGCAGCAGCTCTGCATCTCCAGCCCAGCACCATGCCTTCACAGAACCACAGGATGGCCCGGGTTGGAAGGGACCTCGGGGGTGATCACAGCATTGCAGGGCTTGGAAGGGACCTCTAGAGATCATGGAGACCAACCCCCTGCCAAGGCAGTTCCTACAGCAGGTTGCACAGGTAGGCGTCCAGGTGAGACTTGAACATCTCCAGAGGAGGAGACCCCACAGCCCCCCTGGCAGCCTGTTCCAGTGCTTCAACCCCCTGTTGCATGCAGGGCCACCAACCTCCATATCCAAGGCTACACCAGGCTGCCCAGGGCCCCATCCAACCTCCAACACCTCCAGGGATGGACGGGGCATCACAGCCTCCCTGCAGCTGTTCAGCCCCTCCCCGCTCTCACAGCACACAACTTCCCCTGACATCCAACCTTGCAGTGCTTGCTCTCTGCTTGAATGGTGAGGCTCCTGGGCTGGGTGACCCACAGAGGTGCCTGCAGCCCTCAGTGCTGGAGCTGCCCCTGTGCTCGCTGCTGGAGGGGAGGAATGCACACGGATGGAGGCTCCTGTAACGGTGCGAGGATGCATTGCTGCAGCGAAGGCTGGAAGAAGAGAAGGACGTGAGCTTGTTGGGAAGGAGGATCTCTGAGCTGAAGAGTGAGGTTGCTCTCCAGCAGCACAGCGGGGATGCGCAGAGCTCACAGTGCTGCGCTGCTGCTCCTGGTGCTGTGCACGCGGTGCTGCTGAGAGCCTGCAGGCTGTTCCATCAGCCCTTCCCTTGGCTGGGACACACAGACTCACATTCTGCTTCAGGCACTGGAAATAACTCTGGTTTCCTCACAAGCACCAAGCGGTGGTGTGCTGGCACGTGGTGTCCCCCCCCCCCGGCACGCTTCGAGGAAGCCATCACCGACTTTCCATCGAGGCCCCGTGTCGGCCTTGCAGCCCACGAGCAACTTTGTGCCAGCTGAGCGCTTTTGTGGAGTCTTAGAACGGTTTTATTGTCCTTTGTTAGCAACCGGCGTGCAATTGGAAGGGCAGCCCTGGTTTGTGAGATGGCTGCTGCGCTCCCCAAGCACCGCAGCGGGCGCTGCCTGCAGGGCTCAGCGCTGGTCCCCCTGCCGACCCTTCGGCAGCAGGTTTAGCACCCGCCAGCAGCTCGGCGCTGGCACTTTGAGGGCAGTCTTGGTGCAGCTGCCTGCGCTGTTGTGCTTTCCTTCGACCGCGTGGAGGAGTTCCCAGGGCTGGCGCTGTGGCTCTGGGTTTGTGTTGTGCTTCACCCCCTGCCTGGGAAGGCCTCTGGTCGCAGCTCTCCTACGGAGCGATGGCTGGGGCTGGTGAGGTGCGTGGGACTCGTTCATGGCCTCTGGGTGCCAGGAGTGCTGGGTGATGGTGCCAGGCAGGGTGAGCCGTGCTTCGGCTGCAGCACCGGGGCCCTCCTGGTGCTGCATCGTGTTGGCAGCTCAGCTCAGCACAGCACGGGGGCTCACGCAGCCCAACAGCCAGGGAGGCGGTCATGCTCTGTGTTCTGCAGCAGCCTCCCCCAGTCGTTGCCGTGTTTCATCTCCTGCACCAAGAGTGCTGATGGCAGGAGAGCGCTCCGACCTCGCCGCCTCGCTGGCAGGGCTGGCTGGCGATGGGAGGGGAGGCACCACAGCCCTGCAGCTTGTGGCCCTGCAGCTTGTGGCCCTGCAGCTTGTGGCCCGACGTGGGCGTGCTGTGTGCTCACCCACCCCTGTGCCTGTGTTCTCTCTCCCCCCAGGACTGGATCCTGCACCAGAACACCCCTTCCCACATCGAGAGCTGCCGCCACTTACGACAACAGTAAGGCTTCGGTTTCAAAACGGGGGAGGGGGCACAAGTGTTTTCGGTGCGGATGAGGCTCCCTGTGCACCACTGAGCCCAGCTGGGCCGGGGCTGGGGGTGGGCGCCCGGGGGCTGAGCTGCAGCGTTCCCTGGGAGCTGCATTCGGCTGAGGATGGGATCCCGTGGCTGACGGCTGTGTTCTGACCCCACAGGTACCCCGACTGGAACCCCGAGTCTCGCTCTTCAAAGCGGTAACCACTCCTTGATTACAGCTTCTTAATTTGCCGCTATGCTCGTTAACACGGTTCGTTTCCCAGCTTTGTTTACTGCCGGGCTGTACGAGCCTTGCCTTCCCTTTCTGTGGTGCCATCACGTGGGCCATCAGAGCAGCTATTGTCCCGAGTTCCTTAATAACTCCAGTGTTGTGTTGGCACAGAACTTGGGGCCAGCTCAGCAGGGCGGCTCAGTGAGTTTGGGTTGTTTTACTGCTTCGATGCGTGCGCGCATTTCGACCGCAATGCAAATGGGAGTGAAGGGGCTTTTGCCGTCTGTTAGACGTCCTGAGAAGCCGAACACTGAGTTAACAAGCAAAGAAGCACGGAAAGAAGTCAGGTTCATTTTGCAGAGTGGGCCCAGAGTCTCTCTGAAAGGCTCCTCAGCGTCAGATCCGCCAGGCTGTGCCTGGTTGGGGCGCTGTGGGGCAGGCCGTGCGTTTGGCACTGCAGGACTCGGTGTGGGCAGGAGAATGACGAGGGGCAGGCCGGGCTGCTGGGCTCGGTGCGTGCCCTGCCTCGTCTGCACTGCTTTGGGTCGCACTGCTCAGAGGGCTGGGGGGCCCTGGGCAGCCTGAGATGATGGGGGAGGGACTGGGGGGGGGCTTTAGGATCCCTTCCGACCCAACTGTGATATGATTCTGTCCTTCTGTGATCTTTGGGGACCCTTCCAACCCAAAGCAGCTCATTGCATGGTTCTGTGACCTTCAAGGACCCTTCCAACCCAATATGAGCTGTTCCATGGTTCTGTGACCTTCAAGGACCCTTCCAACCCAACCCCAGCATTCCATGGTTCTGTGACCTTTAAGGACCCTTCCAACCCAACCCCAGCATTCTGTGACCTTCAAGGACCCTTCCAACCCCAACATTCCAACCCCAGCATTCTGTGGTTCTGTGACCTTCTAGGACCCTTCCAACCCAACCCCAGCATTCTGTGACCTTGAAGGACCCTTCCAACCCCAGCATTCCATTGTTCTGTGATCTTTAAGGACCCTTCCAATCCAACCCCAGCATTCTGTGGTTCTGTGACCTTTAAGGACCCTTCCAACCCATCCCCAGCATTCCATGGTTCTTTGACCTTCAAGGACCCTTCCAACCCAATATGAGCTGTTCCATGGCTCTGTGACCTTTAAGGACCCCCCCAATCCAACCCCAGCATTCGATGGTTCTATGACCTTCAAGGACTTTTCCAACCCAACCCCACCATTCCATGGTTCTGTGCCCTTTAAGGACCATTCCAGCCCCAGCATTCCATGGTTGTTTGCCCTTCTAGGACCCTCCCAACCCAACCCCAGCATTCTGTGACCTTTAAGGACCCTCCCAACCCCAGCATTCCATGGTTCTGTGACCTTCAAGGACCCTTCCAACCCAACCCCAGCATTCTGTGACCTTCAAGGACCCTTCCAACCCAATATGAGCTGTTCCATGGTTCTGTGACCTTTAAGGACCCTTCCAACCCAACCCCAGCATTCCATGATTCTGTGACCTTCAAGGACCTTTCCAACCCCAGCATTCCATGGTTCTGTGATCTTTAAGGACCCTCCCAACCCAACCCCATCACTCCATGGTTCTTCTCTCTTTGATCTCCCTTCCAACCCACCCCATTCAGTGACTCTATGATTTACCACCAGGTCAGGACTCACCAGCAGCCTCTCTTTCCTCAGGAATGCCGCGGACAGGAAGGAGAACCAGACCCCCAAGCACCGCTCCAACTCGGCCAGCCCCGGCCCCAGGCGCCCCAGGCCCGCGGCCTCCAGCCATGCTCCCCGTCACTCCCGCTCGCGCTCCAGGAGCCCGGGCTGCTATCGCCCAGCACGACCCAGGAGCCGAAGCCCGCGGTCGGTGCGACGCCTGAGCCCCAGGCACTGGTCACGGTCACCTCAGAGGTCCAGGAACCCCCTGCGGGGCAGCCTGCGGCCGCAGCGCTCCTCCAGCAATGACTGGGCGTCGAGGAGGACCAGCAGATCCCAAGGTACGGAGGGGACGCGGGGGGGTGGACGGGTTGTGGCCTCGGGGTGGGCGTTCAGGAGGGTTTGGTTGTAAGGAAGGGCCGGTCCTGAAAGGCTTGCAGTGGAGGCTGCAGCATCGATCACAAAGGCAGGCTGAAAGAGCTGGGCTCTGCAGCACGGAGGAGAGAAGCTGCGGGGTGAGCAAAGTGCAGCCTGCAGTGCCTGAAGGGAGCCTGCAGCCAGGAGGGGAGGCAGCTCTGTGCAAGGGGAGATGGCAGCAGGACGAGGGGAAACGGTTTGAATGGAGGGAGGGCAGATTGGGGTTGGGTGTCAGGGGAAGTTCTTTAGAGAGAGAGGTGAGGTGCTGGAACAGCTGCAGGGAGGCTGTGATGCCCCGTCCATCCCTGGAGGTGTTGGAGGTTGGATGGGGCCCTGGGCAGCCTGGTGTAGCCTTGGATATGGAGGTTGGTGGCCCTGCATGCAACAGGGGGTTGGAGCTTCATCACCCTTGAGGTCCCTTCCAACCCCGGCCGTTCTGTGGTTCTGTGTGAGCTGCTGTGGGATCCCCAGCAGTTCTGAGCCCTCCTGGGGTGGCTGTTTGTGAAAGGTTGAGGGGACTGGGATTGTTCAGCTTGGAGCAGAGAAGGTCAGGAGAGACCTCATGGTGGCCTGCCAGGACTTGAAGGGAGTGGATAAACAGGAGGGGGAACGGCTGTTTACAAGGGTGGATGGTGATGGGAGAAGGGGAATGGTTTAAACTGAGACAGGGGAGGTTTAGGTTGGATGTGAGGAGGAAGGTTATTGCACAGGGAGGTGAGGCACTGTTACAGGTTGCCCAAGGAGGCTGTGGATGCCCCATCCCTGCAGGCATTGGAGGCCAGGCTGGATGTGGCTCTGGGCAGCCTGGGCTGCTGGTTGGTGACCCTGCACACAGCAGGGGTTGGATGAGATGAGAGCTGTGCTCCTTTGCAGCCCAGGCCGTTCTGTGATCCTATGATCCCGTCCATCCCTGGAGGTGGTGGAGGTTGGATGGGGCCCTGGGCAGCCTGGGCTGCTGTGCAATGGGGAGGTTGGTGGCCCTGCGTGCAACAGGGGGTTGGAGCTTCATGATCCTTGAGATCCCTTCCAACCTGGGCTGTTCTGTGATTCACTGCAGCATCCTAGGATCCGGTTCAGTTTGTTGGGCTGCCCAGTGGCTCTGCTCTGCTCCCTGCTCTGCTCTCTGCTCTGCTCTCTGCTCTGCTCTCTGCTCTGCTCCCTGCTCTGCTCTCTGCTCTCTGCTCTGCTCTCTGCTCTGCTCCCTGCTCTGCTCTCTGCTCCCTGCTCTGCTCCCTGCTCTGCTCCCTGCTCTCTGCTCTGCTCCCTGCTCTCTGCTCTGCTCCCTGCTCTGCTCCCTGCTCTGCTCCCTGCTCTGCTCCCTGCTCTGCTCTCTGCTCCGTAGCTGTAGGAAATGCTGAGTAAATCCAGCCAGCGTGGCCTCTGCCCACAATACTGCAGTGTTGGAGGTTTTGCTGCCTTTGTGGTTTGTCAGCTTGAAGGATACAAACTGCAAGAGAGCTCCTGGGGGAGAGAGGTTGGGGCAGATGTTTGGGATCATAGAGTGGATAGAATCCCAGCATGGCCTGGGTTGCACAGGAGCACAGCACCCATCCAGCTCCAACCCCTGCTGTGTGCAGGTCACCAACCAGCAGCCCAGGCTGCCCAGAGCCACATCCAGCCTGGCCTCCAATGCCTGCAGGGCTGGGGCATCACAGCCTCCTTGGGCAACCTGTGCCAGTGCCTCACTGCCCTCTGGCTGAAAAACTTCCTCCTCACATCCAACCCAAACCTCCCCTGTCTCACTTTAAAACCATTCCCCTTGTTCCATCACCACCCACCCTCACAAACAGCCGTTCCCCCTCCTGTTTATGTGCTCCCTTCAAATATTGGAAGGATGTGTCAAGGAGGTGGGGAAAGGAACAGTGGTGATGAAATCAGGCCTTTCTTATGGAGCAGAGCACAGAGAACAGACCAGGTCAGCCTTCATAGAACGGCCTGGGTTGCAAAGGCCCACAGTGCTCATTCATTTCCAACCCCCTGCTGTGTGCAGGTCAGCAACCAGCAGCCCAGGCTGCCCACAGCCACATCCAGCCTGGCCTCCAATGCCTGCAGGGATGGGGCATCATTTCCACTGATCTCCACCCAAAGACAGGCAGGGGATTGGAGGTGTGTGAGCTCACTGACAAGCAGCACAGTGACATCGGGTCTGGAGGAAGCTGAAGCCGCGGTGACCTGAGCGGCAGTAGAGGTAAAGCAAAGACAAAACCAGGCTTCTTTTCACTTCCTTTGGCAGACAGGAAGGCAGCTCTGGAGGCGGTGATGAAAACGTTGGGACCCGGCTTTGTGGCGGAGTTCAACAAGCACAAATCATCGCAAGCATCCGCACCCGGGGCGTCGGGCTCGGGGAAGTCAGCGCCCAGCCATGGGGCGGCAGGGAAGAAAAGCCCCAAAACGAGCCCCGCTGCCAAGGCCGTAAAGAAGGATGCTGTTCCTCTGCCTGCATCCGGCTCCTCTCCTCAAAGCGATGAGTTGCCCCAAGAGCAGGAGGTGGAAGAGGAGGAGGAGGACTCAGCCGCAGGGCCCAGCAGGCCTCGTGCTGCGCCGTATAACCGGGTGATTATCGACGTTGCTGACGATGGGGAGGATTGGCTGACAGCCTGAAGGCCGTGCTGCCGTGCAGCGAGAGCTGGACAGGCTGAGAGCTGGGCAGGAAGAAACCAGATGGGGTTTAACAACAGCAAGTGTGGAGTCTTGCATCTGGGGAGGAATAACGGCGTGCAGCGGTACAGGATGGGGGATGAGCTGCTGGAGGGGAGCTCTGCGGGGAGGGAGCTGGGGAACAACAGGTTGCCATGAGCCAGCAGTGTGCCCTCGTGGCCAACATGGCAGCCTGGCCTGCATCAGAAACGGCGCTGCCAGCAGAGCAGGGAGCTGAGCATCCATCCCTGTGCGCAGCTCTGTGAGGCTGCACCTCGAGTGCTGGGTGCAGTTTTGGGCCCCTCACTGCAGGGAAGACATGGAGGGCCTGGAACGTGTTCAAAGGAGGGCAGTGAAATGG